TACACAATACGTCAGGCAGGAAGCTGAGAGTTTAAATTTTTAACATTTTTCCCCAAGATTTCCAATCCATCATAAAATGACTAAGTTCCAAAACATGCTAGAGCCATAATGCTGGCTTGAGGGGAGGGTAGAAGAAAGTAAAAACCCCATATGTATTGATACACACACCCACATGAGCAAAGCATCGTGTACGTATACCATCTACATAGATATACTGTCATCAGACCAATGTTAATCACCTGATTTTGTCACAAAAAGCAAAGCAGAGGAAACACAATGGTGCATACAGAAGTCCTGGAGATTAGTTATGAGCTTTGCCAGTGTTGAATGTGTTTATCCATACAAACTTCTGAGGAAGAGTTTTCTTGGAGGTTTAAGAAAATTGCACTCAAGAATATCCTCCTTTGATATTTTGCAGAGTAGTATATTCTGCCAGACAGGGGACTTTTTACTTATCTTTCTGTATATCAAAGTATGTTTTTGCCTTGAAATATGGGAAGTTGACAACTGTACAACAGCAGCAGGGATCTGGGTTCACAGAGTAAGCAGTGTTTCATTATGTTTCTTTATTTGGATGGGCGACTGTGAGAAATAGCTTATGATGTATAAAATATCCGAGTCTCTTTTTGTACTTGAAGACATTGTTATCTCTATTTGAAGTTGGCTAGTGAAGGTCAGTCAGGCTAACCGCTTGCAAAAGAATATCCTGTCTCTGTTGGTAGATACTCTTTTCAAAGTTCATTGCATCCAGAAAGCTATTTTTGTAAATACCACCCATCATGGCAAATTACATATTGTTAGTGGGAGGGGGAAGGGAATGGCGTATGAATTCTTTTCATTTAAAAAAATCGATTGTTGTTGCGAAGAGCATTGCATAGCAACAATGAAAAGTCTAAGAAGTTAATTTGTTTAAGATTTGGTGTTGATCAGGAATGTCAAATTGCACTGCTGAAGTGATAAATTCTGTGATAACTGTAATACTGAAACTTTCACTCACTGATAACCATGGCAGTGATATGTTGTGGTATTTTCATGACATTTCCTTTGCTTTACTTTGAAGTCTAGTTGGTTAAGTCAGGAAGTCTTTCTGTATTAGCAACACTGAAGTTAGGGTTGTTTCTTCCTCTCTATTTTTTTTTTATTTGTTAAATAAGAATGGAAAGCTGGCTATTTAGGATAATGCTAATAGTGGAAAGCGATCCCATACTACTCCAGTCTATCACGTTTTGAAATGAAGCCCATTTAAAAAATGGGATTTTGCATTAAGTAACTTTTTGAAATGCATCAGTAGATTCTTTGTGCTCCACTTATTAAAAATAAATAAATCTTTGTCTTTCAGTGATGTATTAGGTTTAGGTTTTATTATATAGTGTCTACACAAATCTATGTAAACTGATGGTCCAGTCCCAGAAATATTTACAAACGAGAGCAAACCCAGTTAATCATGCCTAATCTTGACAAGAAAATTACTGATGTATGTTGCACTTGCAGAATTAGTTTCTCAAGAGATCCTATTGATTTCAAAAGAACTGATGAGTTGTCTGCGTGTGACTTCTAGGATATGGCTCATAGGAAAGGCATTCAAACATATATGCAAGTGGGAGTTAGCACTGGCCCAAAGAAAGCCAAAGATCTTGTAACTCCCCTTTTTCACATTAAGTTGTTTTCAGACTGATTTTTTTTTTCATAATACACTCATTTCTAGGAGATTATTATACTTCTTGAATGTTCTGAATAGCAGAGTCATTGGCTTCCTGCGTTAAAACTAAAACTGATCACAATGATGTAGGAATGTGTTGCGTGCTTAAAGCACTAGTTATAATGTATCTAACCTAAGTAACTGTTTGGATATGCTGGTACGTATTTTGCTCAGTTTTTCTAGTCACAGTTACTGGTGGGAAGGGGAAGGCTTCTTAAAAATTCACAACTCATTTTAATGTAAGTAAAGATTCCTGATTAATTCAAATCTAATCCTGTTGAACTCACTGGCAACATTTATCCTTGTTACACCAGATTGCAGTTAGTCACTGTAAAACCACAGTTCAAAGCAAAATACTTTGGTTTCACTGCAACTACCAGTGTAATTATGAAGAAGATGCAAAAAAGCCTACCTATAAGCTGTTTTAAAAGGTTATCTAAAAATAGCTGCATAAAACAGCTAAAAGGCCTTACCAGATGGTAACTGGTAATTATTATGGAAACACTGATTGGAAAAACCCACCACTCATCTCATATTTAAAAAAAAAAGGCAGAAAAATATAAGCACTAATATTTCCATCGCTGTTTCATGTATCAGGGGAAAGTAGGCCCTCAGCCAGCGAATACAGCTAAGTCTGTTTTGTGCTGTGGCAAATCCCATTGTGAAGAGGCTGTGAGTAATCAGAAGTGACAGCATAAGCACTTTGTGTTCAAAGTGATTTTACAGAAAGCATTATTTTCTGAGAAAAGTACATATATGGCTCCCAAAATGCTGAAAGAGCACTGATGTATCCATTTATTAGTGTTGGTGTTGGGAGAGGAAGTTTTGCAAATGGTGTTCAGATTTAAGACCTTTTTCTCTGCAATTCCCATTCTGTAAAACATCCTTAAAATTGTAGGAGCTGGCCAGATAGGCAAGGGTGGGACGAGTACTTCTGGCAGGGGAATGTTAGGACAGTTCGTGATGAAGACGACTGTCAGGAGCTGTACAAGCTGCTCAGTGGTCGCTCAAGAAGTCGAACAGCAGCAAAAATGCTATTCCTTAGTGGAAGAAGTGAGTAATCAGAAGTGACAGCATAAGCACTTTGTGTTCAAAGTGATTTTACAGAAAGCATTATTTTCTGAGAATATATGGTATATGGCTCCCAAAATGCTGAAAGAGCACTCCATTTATTAGTGTTGGTGTTGGGAGAGGAAGTTTTGCAAATGGTGTTCAGATTTAAGACCTTTTTCTCTGCAATTCCCATCTGTAAAACCATCCTTAAAATTGTAGGAGCTGGCCAGATAGGCAAGGGTGGGACGAGTACTTCTGGCAGGATGTTCGAGTGGCAGTTGAAATTTCAAATTCAAAGGGTAAGGCAGACTTTTAGAAAAACCTAGCGAGAGGGTTTTTTGCACTCATACCAAAGAGCGCACAAGACATTGTTCGTGCGTTTTGACATAGATACTTCAGATCTCTCTGCTTCTTCTCACTCTGTCCCTCTTCTTGCCCTAAGCTATTGTTCCTACAATAATGCTCACCTCCTTGACACACACAGCTGTCCTGTCCTGTCCACCTACTCTGAGCCAGCCAGTAATGATTGGACTGGAATGAAAATCCGAAAAAGCTGGCTCTTAGAAAATACGAATTTAAAGGATGAATTTGCCCCCTTTAGTAGCTACTTATGTAACTAAAAGTTTTAGTTTTGTTACGCTTGGTTTTTTTGTTCATATTGCTTACCCTGGCTCTACAGTTTGTGGCTACAACCTTAATTCCTAGCATGAGGAATGTGCAGATTTGGCCAGGACCTTTCAATTTAAGTCAGTACACATACATAATCAAGTCCTAGTATTCTGATTTTTGTAAATTGCTTACCAGTGTCTCACATTTACAAAATTACTCAAAGGAACTGCTCAGAACTTCTCTTCCCAAAGCCTGGAGCCGCTCAGCTTTTCTTTTTAGGGAAAAGAAAAGTTCCAGTGCTCACACTTTTAGAACTTGGTGGTTCAAAACCAAAAGGCCAATAGCAACACAAGTGCAATTAAAAAAAAAAAAATCCTCATGACATTTATGTCAAACTTGATAGCTACATATTTGGGGTTGGCATTGTGGATTTATGTATCTATCAAAATCATGAATAGTTTGAAAACTGTTGGCTTTGGAAGTTAGCTCTAAATTTGCAAATAAGGTATCTATATTTTTCTGAATTATTATAACCTACTGCCTCCCCGAGATGTTCCACAACAAAGAAGCCTGAAATAAAAACCTATTTTTTTCCATAGTAATTTATTTTTGGAAGAGGTGGTTAAAGGAATAGGAGGGTAGCTAAGGAGATTCAGGTCTCTCTGTATTTCATGAATAGTAAGCCAAACAATTCCAATTCCAAAATTTCATTACAGTTCTCAATCACAAATGAAATGTTTCAAATACTTGTACTGCTTCCAGTAACCTCTTTCTCTTCTCATGAAATTCCCCCAAGGAGAGTGAAGCTTAAATACTGAGGGGTCTGAGTACAGCACCAGTTATCTACTAAAGTGGAGACAATGTTGTTTGTATTCAAGCATGAATTCCAATGACATTTAACAGAGTTAATTTTATCTTTATTTGGTATTATGAATTTTGCCTCGTTCTGTTCACTCTGTTGCTTTCTTTAAAATGCCTCTCAAATTTCACTGGCACTGGACCATCGTTGGTGATTGCCGCCACATGCCTGTCTAGCATAAAAACTTCTTTATTAGTTGAGAAAGTATATATTTAACAGCTTGGAGATATTTGCATCTGGATTGGAATTATGGCAAGTAATACTCATATTGAGAGAGCTGTTCACTTGGTTTTAATGAGCATAAGCTACAGCTTGCAGTCAATGAACTACTTGAACTTAATAACATAGCAAATGAATTGTTGTACTGCTCAAATCTGTTCTGTCTGGGTAGTTTGATGTGCACTAGTTAATGAGACTGTGGGAAAATTTTTAACCGTGGAAAATAAAAGGGGGCTTCCATAGTGTTGTTGGTATCTTCTGTTTGCATCAGCTTCAGTTTTAAAACAGCAGCATCTAGATACGCATTCCAAGAACAAAATTTAAGCAATACATGTTGAAACGTTTATTTGATGTGGTGTAAGGAGAGAATACCATTAAAGTCTGCATGCAAAGAAGGGAGATCCTCCGACCTCTAACGTACAAATCATTGCAATTTTCATTCCTCTTTTATAGTGGCCGCTGCATGTCTGAAATAAAATAGTTTAATGATGAAATACATGTCAAAAGAATTTACTCAGTGGTCGCTTTGCTAACATTGGTATCATTTCTTCCCTACAGGTATTTCTGTAACAAAGAAGACTCATACATGTAAGTAATATCTTTTGATTTGGCTTTCTCTTACAAATGGAATTCATGTTAGGCTGTGCTGTGGCACTCAGACTATTAGGTGTCAGTCTGGTCTAAGAAGGCTCAGGTTTAAAAATTCTGGTGGGTTTTCTGCTTTAAAGCAGTTCCAGTCCTTGCCTGAAATGTCGTCTAAATGAATATACAGTGCATGTGTGTGTGTATATGTGTGTGTGTGCATTCGCATATGTGTTAAGTCAGAAGGCAGAAAAAGAAAGTTGTGAAGAAAGGCAGAATTCCTTATTCTGGTATGTATACCTTACAGCTAGCTGATAAGTAACGTATCCAGAAAATACAGGTGAGGAGAATGGTTATATTTTTATATGTCTGTTATATATGTAGTATGATTCAAATAAAAATAAATTATTTAATTGAAAGTCTTCTGTCCCTTCCTATGCATTAATCTGTAAGGTAAATCATCCTGTGCTTGTGCCTAAGGAGCTCTTGATGAAAATGAGGAGGTTATTGTTTTGCTCTCAACCATATAAACAAACAGTCCTCATAAATGGCAACCTTGGAAATGGATGTGGATGCATGCATTTACACATGTATACATTTATTCCGAATCTTCTTCAAAGACATCATTATTGGGGATCAACTCTTATCTACTCTGCAGTGAGTTAAAAGCACAATTCCAAAAAAATGTTACGATTTGTAGCTGAAGGAGATATGTTGAGATTCTTTGGATACTGTGGAGGTTTGGAAATCTGGTAGTGCAGGAATTGTACTTGCCCAGAATCTGAAACAGGAGTAGGCTAAAGCTGAGGCTATTAGACTCGTGAAAGCCTTCTAACAAAACAGGTGGTAGGCTGCACAAAATTTACAAAGATATATGCATTTTAACAGGGTTATGCATTTGAAGTATGTTCACCACAGCTTCTAGGGTTAAGGTGGTGTCATAAAGTGTCCTACATTAATTTAATTCTTATTTCATTCCTGGTTTTGAAATACTCCTGTAATGAAAAATCTGACTTGAGATTATGAATTCTCACCGTATAGAGTTACAAAATACAGTTGCTTGATTTAAGAATTTCAAATGAGAAGCTGATTTGTATGAGTTTTGAAGCAAATGTTAAATGTCACAAACTTTTAGAGCATGATGGTCCTCCTCTGCTTAGGTGGGCTTGCTGCTTAATGCATTCTTAGGGTCAGATCCTCTTTGGCTGAATGCATATATGGTTTCCATTGAACTTAATGGGAACTACAGATAGGCATCTGAGGGCAGAATTTGACCCTTACATTTTTGGTGAATATTTGAGCTCATGCTGACTGAGATTGACAGTACAGGAGACTGAAGTCCTCTGTATATCCGCAGGCCAGGCATTGTACAGACAGCTTCCTTGCACAGCCTTGCCCATGAGCTCAACCCTGGCCTGGAGCGACCACCCTCTCTAGAGGTGGTAAGTAATTCGGTATTTATGCTAGCTCAGTCTTGGGCCTCTCTTGTATAGAGGCTAATGACTGTACATGGTGGTTTGTAACGCTCCACCTGGAAATCAGCTGAAATCACCCTATATATTTTGTATACAGCAGCGCCACCATGTACTGACCTGCTAGAAGAGTCACATCTCCAGTTCCAATATTCGATACTTTTTGTACGGAAGATTAAATAGTAACCACAAACCTAAAGAGCATAGGAAATATGCTCTTAAGCCATGCCAGACTGATAAAGTGTTGTCACCATGTATATCTCAGTGGATGCTATGTTTGAGGCCTACGATGAAAAAAAGATGTATTCATCGACTGTGTTAGATGATTAGCTACTGTTCATCATATATGGCCTTTAATCTAGTTAAGACAGAAATTAGGGTCCCAGCGTCTTCTATGTTGAGAACTCTGTTTGTGCTATTCTAAGAGAACTGTCAAAGAGTAGTTCCCCAATTTGTTAATCAGTTGTCATGCAATTGCTGAAGCATGAACAAAAAAGTTTCCTGAATAATGAGAAGATAAGCTTGCCCATTAAGAAAGGATAAAAATAGAAGGAGCAATATGCTGTAATTGGCATGATGAAAATGCAGGCTACGTTTGCTAGCAAATATGTATTGAGGTTTCATTCAGTTTTGGTCGAAGTTCTTTTAGAATTCATTCCTGTTACGACAAATTTTCATAGAGCAGGAATTAATGTAAACTGTGCATCTTTGGCATTTCGGCATCACGCACAATAAGCATTTTTTTTTTTCCTTATTGCCTAGAATTTTTTTTGTTATTGAATAGAGGAAGCAGACATCAAAATTCACAGTTTTGGAATGGCTTGGAAAAAAAATAGTTTTATATAAACACCTAAATGAAAAAATTACAACTCAAATCTGAGTTGTTAACAACTACAAATGACAAGGAGAGAGTTTTTGATTATCAAATTGATCTAGAGTTTGCCTATCACTCTATCAGTACGTATAACATATCTATATTAAGTTACATAGAGTAGGATTTCTGCAAAGAAATTACAAAAAACTTTCTCACAAACAGTTTGTGAAGTGTATATACGTTGTCTGCACTAGTGTTTAGAAATATGGATGAAGTCATCTTATTCTGAGTTTACAACGTATGGCATATGAGGGTATTGAGTGACTGTAAACTAGCACTTATTTCTAATGACCTTTTGACTTAATTAGTGGAGTATAATGCTAGAAAGTTTGATACATTATGTATTTGAAACATCAGATTAATCCTTTTCAGACTTCATCCTAATAGCCATTTTAACTGTGCAGGTTTTGAAATCGGTGGTGGTCTGTCTCCACTACTTAGTTCTTCCTGTTTTTGTTTGAGATTTTGGGTATATTTTACACCCTTCTTGGCATTAGTCTGTGACAAAAGTGTTCTATCAGCTGAAATTGAACTACTGTGCTGATGACAGGTGCTTAGGTCATTTCTGAATCAAATGGTAATTCAGTATTCGTACATATGCAATATAATGCTGAAGAAATATAGGTCTTTCATAATGTAACTAGCTAAATAAAACCTGATAGATTTTCACTCTTCTTGATACAACCGATTTTATCCAAGTATTCCGTTTCATTAGCTGCTTCTCCACATCCTCTCTTTATCTGAGTTTGAGCATTACGAAACCTGCCATTTTTAAACAAGGAGTGTAATACTCTTTGAGGCAGCACTAAGGGAATAAATTTCGTCCACCCTAAAATGCAGTTTTTCCCTCAGTAGATTAAACAGGCTTTTGAAGTAAAAATTCATGCCTTCTGTCTTTTTATCTGTAGAGCTATTCTCTCTTGGGCTCACATGGCAATTTGTTAGGTTAACCATCGCCTTACATAACCTTTAGTCTAGCTAAGTCAGATGGCAGAGGTCAAGTCCTATCTCATCTTCCTTACAGAGTGGGACTTCTGGTGTTTCTGTTCTTTTTTGACTTGAGAAAGATATGACTGACACTTAGATTCTTTTCTGATCATTTAATTTGCACTAATATTTGTAATATAACCCTCTTTCTCTCATGTTTCATGCTCTGAATAGAAAAGTACTCAAAGTGAATGGTAACTTTGATGCACAGCTTCAGCCTTTCTGCAAATTCAGACAGGTGTCATTGTATCAGTGATAATAAAGATCTGAAATTCTGGGGAACAGGGGGCTGGAAAGGACCTGGCATTTCATACCTACTGACTTGGGTTTATGCGCAGTCCTGAAGTGCGTAGTATTTCGTTTCTGGCATCTTAAATCTAAATCTTTCCATACTTCATGTAGTGAGTTTGATGGCCTCTACCAGACCACTTGTGACTGAGAACTATCACACAAATAAATCACCTTGTTTTTCTCCAGATCATATTTATATCCTGGGCACTGACTTTCTTAAATGAATTTGACTTGACTGCCTATCAAAGTAAGGGGTGGTTTCCTGCGGATGCACCCAGAAGGCTAATATTGTAATGAATCTGCAATGTAGTGGAACCTTCTTTCTCTTGCTATTTGAATTGCAATGAACCACAGTCAGAAGCTTCAAAGGAGTTTGATTACATAGCTGGAGTTCATATCTGCATAGAGGTCCAGGTACATCCAGTTATTTGCTTACCTGACATTTTTAAGATAGAAAAAAACGCATAGATTTTGCAAGCCTTCCTTTCACACAATTTTCTGTCCATGTCTCCAGAAAGCCATGCAAGAGCTCCTACCATCCATTGGTCAGTTGTTCTGCAGCAGAAAAGAATCAGGAGCCCTAGCTCCAAGTGACACATACTTGTTAGTGCAGAGGCAGGGACCTGTGGGGGTGCTCTTACCTGGACTAGATTAACCCAGGTGCTACTTTGAACTAAGGTCTGCTCATTGGGTTTAACTTTCCAGTGACAGCGCACCTACAGATCACTGTCAACACAGTGTGAATGATGGCCCTTTGTGAGCTGAGTCCAAAACTGTTTGACCACTGCCTACTTCATGCACTTAGACTAAATAATCACCATTTAAAGAGAAACAGCATGTTTCTTTGGGCAGTCCCAGTGACGGGTAGCCAAGTACCTCAGTTCCTAGATGTTGTGGTTTAACCCCAGCTGGCAACAAAGCGTCTCCCAGCCGCTCGCTCACTCCCCCCACAGTGGGATGGGGGAGAGAATCAGAAGAGTGGAATTGAGAAGACTCGTGGGTTGAGATAAAGACAGTTTAATAGGTAAAGCAAAAGCCGCACACACAAGCAAAGCAAACCAAGGAATTCATTCACCGCTTCCCATGGGCAGGCAGGTGTTCAGCCATCTCCAGGAAAGCAGGGCTCCATCATGCGTAACAGTTACTAGGGAAGACAAACGCCATCACTCCCAACATCACCCCCTTCCTCCTCCTCCTTCCCCCAGCTTTATGTGCTGAGCATGACATCACATGGTGTGGAATCTCCCTTGGGTCAGTTGGGGTCAGCTGTCCCGGCAGAAAAGGCCTTGACTCTGTGTCAGCACTGCTCAGCAGTAATGAAAACATCCCTGTGTTATCAACACTGTGTTCAGCATAAATCCAAAACATAGCCCCATACTAGC